CTCACCCCGACCTCTCACCCCGACCTCTCCCCCCACCCCTTACCCCGCCCTCTGACCCCAACCTCTCACCCCATCCCCTCACCCCGACCTCTCACCCCAACCTCTCACCCCAACCTATCATTCCAACCTCTGACCCCAACCCCTCACCCCAACCTCTCAACTGATCTTTCACCCCAACCTGTCAACCCAACCTTTCACCCCCAACCCTTCACCCCAACCCTTCACCCCCTATATCCAACCCCTCACCCCTAAGCCCCTCTCACAACGACCTGAATATTTCATGTTCACTCGTCCGAACTCCTACCGCCAAAAGATCACCTCACAACTCCATACTGATCTACATATCCACCATTCCAAGACCTGACTCTGGATTACATGTGCTCCACACCTTGTACCCCCAACGCGACACCTTCCAGACGCCTCACAGGGTGACCGTCTGCTCCTGACGCCTCAAAGGGTGGCCGCCTGCTCCTGCTATCCATGCCTCACTACGGCCACGAGTGTCGGGTTTTTAAACTCTATTTGATCAAGTGTCACGACAAAACGACATTAAAAAAAGTGATTTTTGTCTTTCGATCTGGCCTGCTCCAATGTGCATTGCACCAAGATCCTTCACTTCAACTGCTGATAATGGCGATATGGTACAAAAGAATTTGTCTTGAAACCGTCCTGAGAAAGGGATTGCATAAAATGAGATTTGATAGAGTCAGGGGGTCCAATTTCAATGAGATTTTTTTTTTTTTTCTGAAACAGATTTTCTTCGTATGACAGTGGGGGGAATGGATCGATTCTGCTATTTACCTTTGAATAAAATCTATACTATCGGTAAGCTCATTCTGTTCCAGTCAACGCCAGAAGTGTAAAGAACAGTTTGTTCCGAGAGGTTAGTTCAACTGGTTATCGCAGACGCTCGAGAGAAAACCCGGGACAGTGGTCTTCGGATCGAAAAAAAAAGGCAGAACAGAAAAATCCCGAAAGAAACCAGGCTGCCAGTATTGTGGACTCTAACATTGAAAGGTACGTTTTGGTTTTTAAATTGTCGGCATCAGTGGGTGAGTTTCCCATTTAGTATTATTTTTTATATTTTTTTAGTTTTCCTTTTTAAAATGTATTTTTCCTATAGCGGTGGTCATCTAAAGTTCTACATCAGAAGTATAAGTCGTGCCTGTTCAATAGGAACATCCAAATGAGATGTCTGCGCCTGGCCTGTATTTCTGGCGCCTGGTAGGTATTTCTGGCACCTGACATGAATTTCTGGCGCCTGGCATGTATTTCTGGGGTATGTATTTCTGGCGCCTGGTATGTATTTCTGGCGCCTGGTATGTATTTCTGGCGCCTGGTATGTATTTCTGGCGCCTGACATGTATTTCTGGCGCCTGACATGTATTTCTGGCGCCTGGTATGTATTTCTGGCGCCTGGTATGTATTTCTGGCGCCTGGTAAGTATTTCTGGCGCCTGGTATGTATTTATGGCGCCTGGTATGTATTTCTGGCGCCTGGCATGTATTTCTGGCGCCTGGTATGTATTTCTGGCGCCTGGTATGTATTTCTGGCGCCTGGTATGTATTTCTGGCGCCTGGTATGTATTTCTGGCGCCTGGTATGTATTTCTGGCGCCTGGTATGTATTTCTGGCGCCTGGTATGTATTTCTGGCGCCTGGTATGTATTTCTGGCGCCTGGTATGTATTTCTGGCGCCTGGTATGTATTTCTGGCGCCTGGTATGTATTTCTGGCGCCTGGTATGTATTTCTGGCGCCTGGTATGTATTTCTGGCGCCTGGTATGTATTTCTGGCGCCTGGTATGTATTTCTGGCGCCTGGTATGTATTTCTGGCGCCTGGTATGTATTTCTGGCGCCTGGTATGTATTTCTGGCGCCTGGTATGTATTTCTGGCGCCTGGTATGTATTTCTGGCGCCTGGTATGTATTTCTGGCGCCTGGTATGTATTTCTGGCGCCTGGTATGTATTTCTGGCGCCTGGTATGTATTTCTGGCGCCTGGTATGTATTTCTGGCGCCTGGTATGTATTTCTGGCGCCTGGCATGTATTTCTGGCGCCTGGTATGTATTTCTGGCGCCTGACATGTATTTCTGGCGCCTGACATGTATTTCTGGCGCCTGGTATGTATTTCTGGCGCCTGGTATGTATTTCTGGCGCCTGGTAAGTATTTCTGGCGCCTGGTATGTATTTATGGCGCCTGGTATGTATTTCTGGCGCCTGGCATGTATTTCTGGCGCCTGGTATGTATTTCTGGCGCCTGGTATGTATTTCTGGAACTGGAATAAATTTCAGGTTTATTTTGGCTAGGATTTATTTGCTGATATCTGGTGCTGTAATAAATCCTGGTTATAAGGGGTAGAGACTGCAATAAGGTTAGCAAAAAAGGAAATGAGCAAATCAAAGTATAGGAAAACCTGGGGGGGGGGGGGAGGGGGAGGGGGCGCAACAAAACAGCGAACCTTTATCAGCTAACGAACAACAGAATTTTTTTTTCTTCAGGTTTTCGATTACTCCCCCCCCCACCCCCGCTCATTTCCTTTATTAAAACACATCCACAGTGTGGACACAGCTAAAGAATTTTTTCCCCAGCTTAAAATCAGTCTAGCAAGCGTCGTTTTCAAATCACTAACAGTTGAGTCTCTTCCAATTCATTGGTACTTTAAGTTTATCTTTTAAATAATTGAACTTTCTCGCGTTCATTCCGCCCACAAAGTTTTGGTCTCATTCCAGAGCACCGCCGCCAAACGATCAATCATGGCGGAGACGGAGACGGGTGACTTCAGCAAGTCGTCCCTCCGGGTCAACGTTCTCGAGAAAAAACGCTTGGAACAAATTGTGCAGGTTTATGAAAACGCTAAAAGAAATCTGGCCATTGACATGCGCAGATCGCAGACAGCCTACAGGCGCAAACTCAAACTCTACCGGGACAGGAAGCGGGAGATCCTCACGTCAAGGTCCAGCTCGTCCCCGCCAACATCAAGCATGGGGGAGTTCCTGATTGGCCAAGGCTGCACGCACAAACCCCAAAGTTCAAGGTCGGGAATAACCCACCGGTCTCGTCCTGTTGACGAGAGAGGCCGAGATTTGACTTCAAGGGAGACCGTCTCCTCCCTAAAGTCTCATCAAGAGCTACCAACGCCTGCAGGTCTTGAAGACACCAAGGTCTTCAAGTCTAAATTAACGGCTTATCTACCGGATAATCACCCAGACTCCTCCCATAAGCCGGGATCGTCGTCTTCAGATTGGTCAAGGTCAAGCTCAGACCCAGTCACAAGACACAGTCATTCATCCACCAATGCAACTGTTTCAAAAGTCCGCCTCAAGCTTGGATCTCTCGAGTCGACACATTCATTTTCAACAAGTCCTGCCCCTGGTCACAAATCCAAAGTTCAAATCAACCAATCGCCGTCTTTAGAAATCACCATCACGGATTTGAACAGACCCTCAACACAACACGCCGGTCGCATCGGTGGCAAACCACGCGAGTCATCCCTTCTTCCGTCCATACCGAGATCAACGGGTTTCCTCCGGGACGAAGACCGAGAGCAAGAAGACTACGAGGCTAGTCACGAGATGGGGAAGATGTCCAACCGACAGCGGTCCAAGCTCGATCTTAGGCCCAGAACGGCCTGGGCGCTGCTTCACGGTAATACAATGAACGGTCAGACAAGAATCTCTGCAGGGCACAAGGGATACTCGAGTCCAGTATTATTGCTAAATGGTTCTTTGGCGGATAAAAATCGACAGGTAAATCAATGATTGATTAATGCAAACCCAATGCAAATTAATCTAATTTATACCAACAAAAAAAATCATATATTTAAAAGAAGAAAAAAATGCCGCGCGCGAAAACGTAAGATGGTCAAATAGTTTTAGACAGAAATGAATCTGTATGGTTGGTGATTTAATGGCGGAAATCTATTTATAGAACACATTTATAATTTTGCCATTCTCCTTAAGATATCAACAATAAAACATCCTGGTAATCCGTTTGGCCAAACTATCAACAGCTGCTCTGTAATATAAAGTTAATGTGAGCCAGCACAAAGGGTCTCAACCTAGCTGAAAACGGGTCTACAGCTTTATTTTACCAAAGATTTTACAAATTGTTACTGCTACATATATTCAGAAATACATTGTTAGAGGCTATTTTTATGAAAACAGTGTCTAAAAATAGTAGCAATACGCAATGGGATGTGACGTTTTCCGGTCCTAGAAATGACACACCCTTTTTGTATAATGTCCCTGCCAATTTGATATGTTTCAAATTACAGAACGGGCCGTTTTTTTAAATGGGGGGTGGGGGTGGAATAGACACTCGATTTAACAATTTTAATTATAACGAAACACATGATAATACAAAGTTAGATGAAATATTTTATTGTTTCTTCAAAGTCTCAATGAGATCACAAATTGACTCAGCACAATTCACCCCCCCCCCCCCCCACATTATAAAATAAATAAATTAGTTAAATTGCTAAACAAATTTTATTATGAATTTTTTGTCACTTATTTATTCCCTCGAAGGTACGATACTTTGACAAGGACGAGCTAGAAGAGAGGGGGACTATGTACAATTATTTTCTCAAGGGTCGTCTGCAGCGCGAGCATACACGGTTTGAGGACATCTGCCACAAAATTCAAAGTTTCTGCCACAAGCCGCCCTCGCCAGAGATGTCCTAAAAACTTAAAGCCACATTTCCGACCACTTTGGTCACAGTTTGTCCAACATACACTCCAAGCTGGCAACTTGACCAAAAGATCGTCAATATCGTCAACACACAATTACAGAAACTAGATGAGTTGCGTGTCTCAAACAAAATTAAAAATAGACACATTCATTCGTGGTTTGACGACACGTCGTCGAGTCTGTTCCTTAGAAAAAAAACGTGTCCGTTTATTTCAGCCAGAGAATAATCTGTTTAGGAGTTAAATTAATATTGTTAATAATCAACTGCATTTATAATATCGCTTAGTATATCTGTCATATAACCGAGCTTTAAGTATTTTCACAGAGATACATGACTTTAATTTCAATATGAGATTTTATCACTTGTCTTTTCCTTGAATCTGCTAGAGATGAAGAGCATTGATTAAATCCACTCTCACGAGTGTCACGGTGTTAAAAAAAATGTATGCCTACATTGTGTGTAAAGTGTAAAGAATTAATTAATATTGATTTATTTAAGAGAAATAAAGTGGGTGTCTGGATCCCTTTAAAATATAAAATCCTTTCAATTATTAAAATTATTTTTATTATTTTATTTTATTTTTACTTTTTAAAACGTAAACTTATCATTGTATAGTAGCATTTATAGCGGCAACTTTCTGTTAAAACTAGTAAATGTCTTTTAGGACAGCTGTCTTGTCGATCTACCAGCAATGTCAGTCCTACGCGTCCATGTATAACATCTAACTGGCAGTCTGGCTTCTTTGGCCTTTCTTCTACCGGTACAATCTAAGCTGTTCTATCTTGAATGGTGCCCCCCCCCCAAAAAAAAAAAACGGGATGTAGATGGCACCACGGGCGTAGGAAGAGGTTAGGGAGGAGGGGGCGTTTCACCTTGCGTGGCCATTTTTTTTTGGAGGTGGGTGGGGCATTATTTTGATCCACATCACACCCATAATACAACGGTAGCTTAATATCTTTTTAAATATGTATTTATGTGATTTTCGATAATTAAGGGTGGCAACTACAAAGACCGACCGGGGGAGTCACAAACTCTGGCTAATCGAATGGATGCCCCGCCCCCCCCC